TCAGCTAAGATATAGTTGTTCATCTGTGTGTAATTACTAGTATTATAATTTTTTGTAATTTCTTGGTTATCTATATTGTTTGAACTACATTGTGAGTACAGTAGGATTTTGTTTAGAAATCTATGCATTATTTCAAATAACATCTCTTTATGATAGGAAAAAAAGTTCCAAGTTTCAAATACACTGTAAAGAACTAATCATCTTACATGTTTAGACTTATTATGGGGAGAATTTTAAACTTTAGGCTTTAAAAAGATATTTAAGAAAAAGATTTTAACAAACTTTTAGTACCTTGTAACTTACTGTCCATAAACAAGGCCAGCCAAATTTGTACCCTGTTTCACGGATTAGAAATTAAACACTATAAATGAAAGAATAATAAGTCATATCTTGTCAATAATTTTGTGAGACTATGAGGCTTGTAGTGAGTTTTCCTTTAACACTCATGCCTGTTTTCTTTTCAAAATTATTTTTCCAGTTTTTATGTCTTACCGTAGGTCTTCCCTTTTCCTCTCTTCATTTATTTATAACTCTATCTTGACCACTTCTATCTGTTTTCAGCCTAGAATTTTACTACTTTGGGGAACGTGGTTTTCGTGAGGGTAGAGTTTTTGAATGTCACTAATGTTTGCCTCTGGAATAAGTATGATTATAGGTCAGTAGAAGAAACATGGTATGAAAAAATGTACAGCCTTGGTAGTAAGCAATAGAGTTCATACTTGCAAAGAAATAGAAGTATATGTATATTAAAGGCAAGTAAGAATCACTAGCAAATGTTTGCGTTTTACATCTCCTGCTTTGTTGGCCTATAGGTTTTTTATACCTATGCCATGAGTAATAATTTTTCTTAGTAAAACTTTTATTTATACTCAGTTACAATTAAATATCTTTGTCAGTAATCTAAAAGCAATAAAGTCCTTAAAATGAGGCAATGTGATAGATTATAAGAAATTACATCTAAGAAATCATATATTTGAAATTTTACATGTCAGTAATGTGGTCTGTGACCATTGAATTACAAGTTAGAAAGAATTTATCATTAAATTCTATTTTTTAGGATTTGGTTATCTTTTGGCAGTACTTACTAAAACATATGGTTACACTAAAACATGACTAGAAATTTTAAAAGATTGGTCAAAATTTCATGCTCAGAATTTAGAATGTGTCATCTAGTATTCTTTGCTCTGTCATGAAAAGATTTGAGAAAGTTTCAGTGAAAGTAAGTTAAGTTGTTTTGTAATGGTAATCTAATAGAAATTGAAGTTTTTTTTTTTTAAGCTAAGTATGACTTACTTAGACCAGACATAGTGGCTCATGCCTGTAATTCCAGCACTTTGGCAGGCTGAAGTGGGTGGATCACCTGTGATCAAGAGTTCAAGACCAGCCTGGCCAAAATTTTTAGTAGAGACCAGCCCGGCCAAAATTTTTAGTAAAGACCAGCCCATTCTTACTAAAAATACAAAAATTAGCCATACATAGTGGTTCACGCCTTAGTCCCAGTTGCTCAGGAGGCTGAGGCACTAGAAGCACTTGAACCCAGGAGGCAGAGGTTGCAGTGAGCCAAAATTATGCCACTATACTCCAGCCTGGCTGACAGAGCGAGATTCTGTCTGGAAAAAAAAAATTACTTCCTTAAAGTGATTCCCTTAAACCTTATTAGACCATGGTACAAGGCTTTGTAACATAATCAGTACTGTTATAATAAGCATACTTTGGCAGAGTGAGTGAACTAAGGATTTTTCATAATTTAAGATAGTCTGGGAATGACAGTTGATTAAATAATGTCACAGCTCTTTATATAGCATTTAAATAGAGTTCACGTATTTTTGGAATTTGTTAATTAATCTTTATAATATTCTTCTAGCATTATTAGTTCAAGAGGTGGGAGAGCTAAACTGTGTCTAGCCTTTTGTTTTATCATTGTTCCTAGTGCAGTTTTGAACTCTTATGTGTTAGAACTCCCATTATATTGGTCAAATCAGTGGTCTCCATATGATCACCATATGACTTTAGTCCTCCGTTTTTGCCTCCAATTTTTAACTATCCTATTCTGGACTACTTCATTAACTTTATTTGACAATGTCAAATAAAGGCTTAAATATTCATAGTTAATCCCTAATGAAATAGTTGCAGGTGACCTTAACTATTTCATTGATAAATACAGGGAATAAAATGAAATCTGTAGAACTGTTTGTTTTATTTGGAGCTTTTCATATTGGTGTAAAATTACTGACACTTAACACATGGGAATCTTTTTCATTCATGTTTTAAAATTTTATTTGATAGTCACTTCAAGTAAAGCCCAAGATATGTTAAAATTTGACTTAACCAAAGATGTCTTTGCTTAACATATAGGCAAATACAGGCATACCTTAGAGATATTGTGGATTCAGTTCCAGACTACCTCAATAAAGCACATATCACAATAAAGCAAGTCACATGAGTATTTTGTTTTCTCAATTCATATAAAAGTTATGTTTATACTATACAGCACTCTCGAGAGTGTGCAGTAGCATTATACCTTTAAAAATACACATACTTTAATTAAAAATACTTTGTTGCAACCAGGTGTGGTGGCTCACGCCTGTAATCCCAGCACTTTGGGAGACCCAGGCGGGTGGATCATGAAGTCATGAGTTTGAGACCATCCTGGCCAACATGGTGAAACCCCGTCTCTACTAAAAGAAAATGCAAAAAATTAGCTAGGCTTGATGGCGGGTGCCTATGATCCCAGCTACTTGGGAGGCTGAGGCAGGAGAATTGCTTGAAACTGGGAGGCGGAGGTTGCGGTGTGCTGAGATCCTGCCACTGCATTGCAGCCTGTGTGACAGTGTGAGACTCTGTCTCAAAACAAACGAACAAACACTTTTTTGCTAAAAAATGCTAAAGATCATCTGAGCCTTCAGCGAGTAATAATCTTTTTCCTGTGGAGAGTCTTGCACCCATGTTGATGACTGCTGACTGCTCAGGGTGGTGGCTTCTGAAGGTTGGGGTACCTGTGACAATATCCTAAAATAAGGCAATAATGAAGTTTGCTATATCAATTGACACTTCCTTTCATAAAAGATTTCCCTGTAGCATACGATGCCATTTGATAACATTTTACCTACAGTAGAACTTCTTTGAAATTGGAGTTAGCCCTCTCTAACCCTGTTGCTTTAACAATTATGTTTATGTAATACTCTGAATCTTTTGTTGTCACATCAACAGTGTTCATAGGGTGTTCACCAGGAGTAGATTTCATGTCAAGAAACCACTTTCTTTGTTCATCTTTAAGAAGCAGCTTCTCATCCATTGAAGTTTTATCATGTGACTGCAGCAATTCAGTCCAATATTCAGGCTTCACTTCTAATACTAGTTCTCTTGCTATTTCCACCATATGTGCAGTGACTTTTTCCACTGAAGTCTTGAAGGCCTCGAAAGTGATCCATGAGGGTTGGAATCCACTTCTTCTAAACTTCTATTAATGTTAATATTTTGACCACATCCCATGAGTCATGAATTTTTTTTTTTTCTTTTTTCTTTCTTTTTTTTTTCTCTTTTGAGACAGGGTCTTACTCCTGTCACCCAGACAGAGAAGTGCAGTGACACAATCACAGCACAGTGCCTCGACCTCCCAGGCAGGCTCAAGCAATCCTCCCATCTCATCTTTTATTTTATTTTTGTAGAGATGAGGTCTCACCATATTGCCCAGGCTAACCTCAAAATCCTGGGCTCAAGTGATCTTCCCACTGCAGCCTCCCAAAGTGCTGGGATTATAGGTGTGAGCCACCATGTCCAGCCTATGAATGTTCTTAATGATAACTAGAATGATGGATTATTTTCAGGAGGTTTTCAATTTACTCTGCCTGGACCAATCAGAGAAGTCACTATGGCAGCTATACATTATGTAATATATTACTTAAATAAGATTTGAAAGTCAACATTACTACTTGATCCATGGGCTGCAGAATGAATGTTGTATTAGCAGCCATGAAAACAATGTTCATCTCCTTGTATGTGTCCATCAGAGCTCTTTGGTTATCAGATGCATTGTCTATGGGCAGTAATATTTTAAAGAGAATCTCTTCTGAGCAGTAGATCTCAACAATGGACTTAAAATATTCAGCATATCGTACTCTAACAGGTGTGCATTCATCCAGGCTTTGTTATTCCATTGGTAGAGCACAAGCAGAGGAGATTTAGCATAATTCTTAAGGGCTCTAGGATTTTTAGAATGGTAAATAAGCATTGACTTCAACTGAAAGCCACCAGCTGCATTAGCCACTAACAAAAGAGTCATCCTATCCTTTGAAATTTCGAAGCCAGGCATTGACTTCTCTCTAGCTATAAAAGTCTTGGATGGCATCTTCTACCAATAGAAGACTCTTTTGTCTGTGTTGAAAATCTGTTGTTTAGTGTAGCCAACTTCATTAATGATGTTAGCAAGATCTGGATAACTCATAACTGCTTGCTTTTTTACCTTGCACTTTTATGATATGGAGATTGCTTCTTTCTGTCAGCCTCACAAACCAACCTCTTTTAGAGTCTGACTTTTCTTGCACAGCATCCTCACCTCTCAGCCTTGATAGAATTGAAGAGTTATGACTGTGCTTGGGATTAAGCTTTGACTTAAGAGAATGCAGTGGCTGGTTTGATCTTCTATACAGAGCGTTGAAACTTTCTCCATGTCAGCAATAAGTCTGTTTCACTTTCTTATCATTCATGTGTTCACTGAAGTAACGCTTCTAATTTTCTTCAAGAACTTTTTCTTTTGATTGATAACTTGCCTGTTTGGTGTGAGAGGTCAAGCTTTCAACCTCTCACCTTTCAATATGCCTTCTTCACTAAGCTCAATTATTTCTAGCTTTTGATTTAAAGTGAAGACATATAACTCTTTCTTTCATTTGAACACTTAGAGACCATTGTAGGATTATTAATTGGCCTAATGTCACTATTATTATGTCTCAAGAAATAGGGAGGCCTTAGGAGAGGTAGAGAGATAGGGTGATGGCCAGCTAGGAGATCAGTGAAAACAAGACATTTTTCAGTTAAGTTCACCATTTTATATGGGTGTGGTTGGTAGCATCCCCAAACAATTACAATAATTATATCATAGAACAGTGATCACTATAACAGATATAATAAAAGTTTGAAGTATTGAAAGAATTACCAAAACATGACAGAGATCCAAGTGAGCACATTCTGTTGGAAAATAATGACACCCATAGACTTACTTAAGGCAGGCTTGCCATAAACTTTCGATTTGTAAAAAAAAAAAAAAAAAAAAAAAATACATGGTATCTGTGAAGTGCAATAAAATAAGGTATGCTCATAACAAAAAAGACTTAATTATGCTGTTTCTTACCATTAGTATTAGAGTTCAGTTTCTAATGTTTTTAATTTTTCACATGTTATTGATGTTCAGTAAGTTACACCAATTATTTGCTGTTATCACCTCTACCTTAGTAGGGAGAATCTTTGATTTTTGCTGGAGAAATTTTCAAACGAGTGATTATAGGCCAGGCCTGTAATTCCAGCACTTTGGTAGGCCAAGGTGGACAGATCATCTGGGTAAGGAGTTTGAGACCAGCCTGGCCAACATGGTGAAACCCCATCTCTACAAAAAGACAAAAATTGGCTGGGTATGGTGACACATGCTTGTAATCCCAGCTATTCAAGAGGCCGAGGCAGGAGAATGGCTTGATCCCAGGAGGCAGAGGTTACAGTGAGCCAAGATCATGCCATTGCATTCC